ATTCTGATTGGCCAGAAGACTCGAAAAAATATCAGCAAAGATGTTACAAAAGTTTTCAAAACTGTTTATGGTCTCCGTTACTTCCAGTCCAACGCCGACTGCATGCACAGCGTTAGAAAATCGGGCCTCCAAAAGAAAAGTTTTTTCCATAAAAAAAAAAAAAAAAAATTATATTTATTTTTTCTTCCCTCACACATCTGCGACCCACTCGAAACGGGTCCGCGGCCCACTTTTGGGTCGCGACCCACCAGTTGAGAACCACTGCTCTAAGCAATATGCTTAGTGTATTAACCAGATTTTTTTCACAAAACTGTGTCTCAGGGCTTCTTAACATTTAACAACCTATGAATGTGTCATACCCACTTAACGGGAAGAAACTCAGCAAACTGACGATAAGAAAAATTTTTAGCTAAACGAAACACAAGGGTAATACCAAGCCTCTGAATTAACACTAAGCGAAAAAATGCTAACGCACTTAGCACAGAGCTCACGGTAGAAATATTGTATTACTTATCGGATCTGCACAAACAAGATATCAAATGAAAGAGGTATAAGTAGCATCACTGTGCAACCAATCACTATAAGTAATGTTTTCTTTTTTGGACGGACACTATAATTTACATTTTTGTTAAATCTGAATTTACTTTAAAATAAATACATCTATATTGACTGACTTTTCTACATCAAACTCACAGGTGTATCATTGCTTTGAGAAAAAATGTTATTAATTTAAACCTTTTAGAAGTGAAGATATGGTCATGTGTTCTGGGGTTACAGGTTAAAGGCTTCTCAACATGGAAAGCATTTGCTTTTTTTTTTTCCAAAACAGACAAGAGCTTTTACAGTTTGAGAACATATTGGCATTATGCTATTAAACTGCTGTTGATCTATAACTTTAGATTAGCTAAAACATTTTTTTTTCAGGTAATTATATCTTTGATAATGTACGGTAAAGAAAGGTTGGAACTCGGAAAAACTAAATGATTACATAAAAACACACCTACAATTATAAAGAAGTCATTATATGAATGACTTTGGCCTCTATATGTTTTTATATGTAAGGCTTAGTTGGTAAAACCATACAAAATCTTCAAATATTCATTTAAAAATGGACAACTGAGTCTAAACGTTCACCCCTTCCCACCATAACTTCAATTCATCCAATCAGTGAAGGATGTAGAATATGGATCAGGTAAGATGGACAATTTAGACAATTGAAGATGATTCCGTTTTCTATATAACCATATTGCCACAATAATAATTACTGCAAAATACCTCAATTTTCAATTTAAGTGGTTGGGAATTGGATTTCAAGTAGGAAAAGAATGGCAGATAATAATACAATAATAATAATAATATCCATTATTTTACTATTGGATCATTCTATTGCAATATATTTGTTTGTGGAAATGTATCATGTTGGTTGAGTGTTATTGTAAGTATACCAAAACACAAGACAAGCATGGACCACACAGACAGCACCAAACATAGTCTGACTGTTCAAATGATGAGGTTGATGGGATTGACCAATATGAAATAATGAGAGACTGCAGTAAGGTTGATGGAAAAGAACATCATACGAATGAAACCATTAGGAGGACAAGCCAATATAAAGAACCAAGATGGTATCAGAAGTGCAAAAGACGAGGTATTACAATAAATAAGAGGTAAACAAAGAAAGTTTCCTACCTGATCCTGAGTCCATGATGTTGGCCTGCCCTCTGCGATCAGCTACCAGCCTGGAGGAGCCGGGCATGCTGACTGGCTCTGAACGTACCGGTTGGATCCTGCACGCATAACATATCTGGACATTACTTACTGAAGAATGTGTAAGACAAAACGTATTGTGATTAATCTGACTGATATTGGAACTGCAATATGAATCAGGATATTGGAAGGAATGATTTCTGTACCAAGAAAAAATATTGTATTAGGTCAGTAGGATAGAAGGAGTAGGCTTGGACATGTATGCAGTACCGCAATCCTTCATTTGAGATTGCATTTACACATGTTTTGGCTGCAAGACATATTGTACTTCCTACGATTTGAATATTGCACCAGCCAATATTGCAATTTCAATAACAGTTTGATTAATTCAGCAGCCCCTTATTAATACACACATGCAGTATTATCCACGGGCCTCAGATGCTTTGCTTCTTTTTTTTAAATGAGTGATTACAGCCGGGGCAGGCAGTTTGTTCTTGTTGATATCGGGCGAAAATGCCATATATTGGCATATAGACTTCACTTATTTTAACAACTTGTACCTCAAACTGTGAAGGTCCAGGTCATCCGTGTCAAAATCCAACAGGGGCTGTTGGACATCAGAGGGACCCTGGGACTGAAGGACGGAGGATGAGGAGGAAATGACGGTGGTCTGGCCTGAAGGGTGAATGGTCTTGAACTGAAACTGTGGGCCCATCCAAAGGCGTCGGTGGGGCCCTGTGTGGGTCACAATTTCCACCTGAGATTCAAGAGAAAAGATTAGTGAGGCAAGAATATGATTGAGTAACGCTCAATAATGTTAAGATGCTCACACATCAACTATCTTATGTTTAGCAGCTAACGTTGAACTTGTTTACTGTTCCAGTTTAGCTTGTGGCATGTACAGTTAGGCTCGTTAACAAATGCCAAATAGCACTTAACAGGGAGTACATTTAAGACCGTTGGGAATTTGTATATTTTCAGTTAGATTTGTAGGTATTTGGTCATTAATGAGAATGCTAAAGAGAGAAAAATTCAAACAGTCTTTTACGGGCCGTCTTCTGTAACTCAAATTAATTTTAGCTAACATCTATTTCATCTGTCTTTCTGGTAAAGCACAAAAACATGGTGATAAAACTGTGTGGGAATTACATTTTTTAACAACATAATTAATAACATAATCTTTTCCACTTTATTCTGCGGATTAAATTAATATGTGTAAGAAAATGTATAGCATCAAGTTTTCAAGGTTTCAAGGCTTGTATTGGTCATACGAACATAGCTACAGTGTAGTTATGAAGATGACAATCTTAGGTCACAGGCTGCTCCAACAGTGCAAAAAAATAACACAGAAAAACAGAAAAGCATCCCATTGTTCTCCAGGTATTCCTATTTCAACCAAAGTGGAAACACCAACCAAATGAAACGATTACTTTTCTGTCATTCCATTCTATTACAAAAAACATCTTTTTGGTTCTCCTCTATCGCCAGTAAGTCAATGACAGAGTCCTGGCAATTTTCCTTAAGAGTCGTCATCAGTGGATTTGACAGGGGGTTGGCTATAGGCCAATACTCACCCCATAGACTACTCATATGAACTCATTTACATGACATCCAACAAAAAGCTTGATGTACCCCTGCACTACTAAAAGTCTGAGAATGTTGTCAGAACTCATCTAGGTCTTGTGTGTTGGGAGAGCCGGTGGTACGATGGGAAGCATTCCCAGAGGGTTAATGAAAGTGTGACTCTAGCAACATCATGGCATTGAGGCTGAAGTGTGGCCTCCTGGGAGAAAAAAGATGGCACTGGAATGGCAGGCGGTCCATGGGCACTTGAGCGGAGTGGCACTAATGCCTGCTGAATGTAAGATAGGAGTGGATGACTCACAAACATCAGACTATTAATGCCTCCTCCGTTCTCCTTCTCCTCTTCGACTGTAATGTAACAATCTTCTGGCTGCAACTCCCACTTGTTCAATCTCTCCCACGCTAACTCTGACTTTTCAACTCCCTGCAACACTTAACATGGATCTTGGTGTCTCACTGTTCACATGTAATTATCTTTACTTCCTACATGTTCATCTCTCACCTCAGCCCAGCTCTCAGCTCGTGGTAGAACTCCACTCTGGCTGCTAGGGGCCAACATCTAAGGCAAGAGTGGGAGCTTACACTTTCTGGAGTCCTCTGTGAATCAGTGTTCATACACATATATATGCATATACTGTAAACACTAAAGGCCCAGGCACATCAAACAGACATCACATAACTAATGGCAATGGGGTCAATGTTGATTAACTTACATTGTCCGCTTCTTGACAAAAACCTGCATGTGAACACAACCAAAAGACTAAAGCTAACGACCAACTAGCAAGCCTTCTGGTCCTTTGCAAGAGGAAAACAACTCTTCAAACTCTCAATCTTTCAAAATCAGAAACATAAAGACCTAAGATTGCAGACATGCAAGTTGTTGTCATGATACATACATTAAAACAAAGCAGAATTTGCTGATGAACTTCCAACGACTCTTGATCACCAGTTAGCTTTATTCCAAATGGTCATGTCAACGTTTCCGAGTATTGGAAAGATCAGATGAGATGAAGATACAAATTGAAAGAGCCATTTGCTTGTTTTTCGTTCCACCTGTTTGTTTTTTCTCTTCTTCTTTAGCTGAACAATACATTAAATGTATGTCTTTCACCAATGCCAGGACCAAAAAGCACCATATGTGAGGGACACATTGCAAGAACTAAAGCAACAAAGGCTCATCTAGGCCCAACATTTTCTGACTTGTGGTGAGATGTTGTAACGCACAATGTCTTAGAACATATGTATTCATGTACTAGGAATGACTAGATCAGTTTAACCATCTATCAACTGCTATGAGCTATGTCATTATTTTCCATCACATCAAACTTGACAGATGAGATGTAGAGACCTGCGGTGGAGCGAGGTGTAAGGACAGGAGCATTTGTTGTCGACGGACAGCCAGCTGAAGAGTTACTCTGGCTGATAAGCAGCAAACGGCCTGATGTTACAGCGGCTGGAGCACTGACATGGAGGGTCACAAACCTCACATTTCATTAGTGGAGAGCCGATCAATCCTAAATCCCAACGCAAAGCCAAAACGCCTGCTTATAATCTAATGAAGGCAACTGATATGATATGATGGAATCCACAGGGCAATTACTTAGACTGTAATTCAAAAAGCATTTCTCAATCCACCAAGATACTGTGTGATAAATCGGAGGTACTGGAATTCTGCCCTTTATGTCATATCCACATCCCTGTGTTTATTTCGTTTTGGTCCTTTTAGCCTACATTCCTTAATAGTCTGGAACGATCCAAAAGAGTTCCATCGTAGGTACATGCTAAGGTATGTAGAGCTGTACCGTTACATATCCAACCACTGAAGAATACATCCCTACCAATGATTTGACAGGACTTTCCTAAAAATCTAGGTTAGTGCAATGGATAGTTTTGCTCCTGGCAAACTATCATGGCAGATATGGACAAGTGCCTCAGCAAGCTAAATGGGGTGCATTTTAACCGATCAATTATACATGCAGTGGAATAATTGATGGTGAAAATGTAGTGGGTTACCTGCCGACACGTAGGATGAGTGCTCTGTGGGTTAAGCTGAAAAGACAAGGGTTTGTGTACTGGATATTTCTAACATAACTGTGTAATTTATACCTGGCCGCTAAATCAATATATATATGCCGTTAATAACTGTGTAATTTATACCTGGCTGCTAAACCCTTGTTACTGTTACAAGGTATGTATCTTGTATTTTGTAAATTGTGTAACTTGCTGCTGTTAAATACCGTCAAACTATGTGCAATATGTGCTTTATGTGCAATATATACTTTATATACATATGCCATCTTTAATAACTGTAATATATACCGGGCTGCTAAACCCTAAGAACTGCTACAGGATTTGATTTGTAGATTTGATTTGTTTTTTATCTGTATTTTTGAAAATTATGTAACTTTTCATCTTTTTTTTAGCATATTGTTTATTATATTATAACTTAGTACTTTTTTAGCATATTGTTTATTATATTATAACTTAGTACTTTTTTTAACGCATGTAAGATATGCAACACTAAGCTGTCTGTGGCTCTTTCCTGCTGTAATGCTGCACATTTCCCCTCTGTGGGACTAATAAAGGTATTCTGATTCTAAATCATGCCTTGACAAATACTGTGAACATTTCAATGTATTGTAGGATGACATTCGTGATTAGGAAGTTATCCTATTTTAATGTTCAAGGTCAGTAAATGTGAATCCAAAAAATTGAGATCCAGATGGTCTTTTCATTTAGTATAGGAAACAGCTTTTTTACAACCGCAATAATATTTTGTTTTCCTGAACTTAGGTTTTGAATTTGAGAGAATCATGCAAAATTAAGTCAAACATTCAAATGTGATAATTTCTCAAACCTGTTTTTATTGCAATTCGGACACACCCTTTGCTGCAGTAAAGTGAATCTTGAAGCGGGATTTTTAAGAATCACATTAAGCCAATCAGTCACGATCAAACTTTTCTTTTTGTCCAAAGCAACAGTTTAAATGTTAGAACACAGCAACCAAAATGTTATAGTCAGGTAACTGTAATTTTGGTAGAGATAAGGTTCTGACCTGAGAGAGCCACTCCTCGTCCTCAGGAACGCTGTGGTCTGACGCCAGGCTGTCCGACGACTCGTGGCGGGTGATCGGGCTGGGGCTTCCTGGGGGCATCGCTAGGAAAACACACAAACACACCATTCTATAATGTTTTACCCATCGATTAAATGTTATATATTTTTAGCTGCCTATATTGCGTTCCAATATCCAATTTCATTACGGTGACAGAGATTATCTGCAATATTTAAGTTTTCAATGGTTTATACAGAATGATTGTATTAAAAAGTGTAAAGGCCTTCAGCTTCATAAAACATGAAACTGATAGTGCTTAAAGAGAGGAACAGCAGGTCAAAGCTGACTAGGGGAGTAAATCACATATTTCTATTATCATTTTCACGAATGAGCCTGTAAAGGAAAATGATAATTGAGAACTAGTTTATTAAAGTGTGTTTGGAGTCTGATTTGGTCTTTTTCTATACCAATACAAATATGTAGGCAGTTATGACTTAATGGTTCAAATGTTTAATTCTGTGCAGACATGATGTTTTTTTGGAAGATCGAAAACAAATATAATAAATATATAAAAAATAAATATGTACAAAAAACGAGGACTGGGGAAGGTGAATGTATTTGAAGGAGAAGTGGTGAAGTGTGTGACATGGTGTTCCAGAGGTTTCAAAAAGCAAAGCGTTCGTCCTGTGTGTATGAAGAGTGTGAGTGTGTGTGTGGCTAAATACAGCAGTGCCTTCTGTTCTCCAGATGTGGACTTGACAAGTGTATTAGCTATTCCTGTGTTAAACAAACCCCATACCTGAGGTGGGAGACAGAGAGCGGACTGACTCTGTACATTAGGACTTATTCCGCATGCCTGCTAACTCAAGCCATGAGAACTCCATCTGTCTCTTGGTCTCTGTCATGTTCTCCTCTCTCTCACTGACTCTTTATAAAACACTGACACACACACAGGCACAATTTGTTGAAAGGTTATTGTAATCATTGATATTTAAACAGGGTTGGGAGGGTAACTTTAAGAATGTATTCCATTACAATTACAAAGTACCTATAGATATGTAATCAGTGGCTTAATCTAAACAGGTCTTATTATGCTTTCTGGAGTTGTTCCTTTCTTGTGTGTTATATGTATTTTTTTTGTGTGTAAATGGTCTGCAAAAGCTAAAATCTCAAAGTACCTTCCAGAAGGAGTTTCTCTCCCACACACCCCCTGTTATCCTGCTAGTAACAGATCCCCATTTTTATCTTTTTTTATATATATTTCAAATTGTTTAAACGCTTTGGTAATCTGATTACGTATTTTTGTATGCAACTGTAATGGAATGAGGTTATTTTTGTTACATGTATCTCCTAGGCCTTTATATATATATTTATATACTGTATATACAATATATACAGGGTTGGGAGGGTTACTTTAAAAATGTATTCCGTTACAATTACTAGTTGCCTGTAAAAAAATATCTATAATCAGTAACCTAATCTGAGTATCAACATCTAAAAGTAATGTTATCTGATTACTTTACTTTTGGATTACCTCACTATGCAATGCAGATAAATAAATAAAATAATTAACAAATGTATATTATGTTAGTCAACACAATGTGACCTTAGAATTTTTTTTTTATTTAAAGCATATTCAGGCTGTAGCCTATACACCAACACTGAAACACATTAGCACATACTACAGCTTAAACAAGCAGAAATTAAATCTAAGCTGACGTCAAATGCTCCGTTTAGTTCAATACATACATACATACATACATACAGTTAATACATACCTCACACACACTATTGTATGAACATAAAGGTTGACCTACTGATTTAAAAAAAGGAAAGGAAAGTGAAAACCATAAAAGCAGATTCAGGCAGCGTATAAAGTCACACATTAAAGTATTAACCTACAGAACAGAACAGCTTACATTACACAATATGCTGTTTTTAGTTGTTTTACTAACATTGCAATCCTGCTAGTAACCCATGATTATAAGACCTGTAACAGTAATCTGTTGACTGTAAGGGAATACAGTTACCCTTTTTTGTATGCTGGTTAGTAATCTTGTTACATGTAATCCCCACTCCCCCAAGCCTGAGCATATGTATCTTACCCCTGCCCTCTTTCTCTCTTTCCCTGACCATAGGGGCCAATAACTGTTCCCTAATTAATTATTGATGTTCTGAAGCAGTTGGTGGACTGGCTGGATCATGTTTCCAGTGGGGAGGGGGCTTTCAATGACCAGAGTCACAGCCAGGCTCCGGCGTGGGGAGCTAGTGGTCATACCCATGGGTCATACCCAATACACAACCCTCCTTGTGTGTGTGTGTGTGTGTGTGTGTGTGTGTGTGTGTGTGTGTGTGTGTGTGTGTGTGTGTGTGTGTGTGTGTGTG